TGTACAGATTTGAAGGTACTAAGAAAGTTATTATATGATTCCGTGCAAAATTGATTAAAGGTGAAAAACAAAAAAATAAATGAATATCAAAAATAAATATTCCATAGTTACGATAAATCGTTTGCTTATACTTGAATAATATTTTTCAGTAAAGGTGTCTTCAACCCCGTTGCTTCCAACAGAACAAATACCCAAAAAGAGGTCACTGTCACATGATTTTGATATATGCACTTCAGTGTCGAAAAGACAATTACAATTCAGCATTATATATATCTATAATAATATTAATAGGTATGTTAGTGGGTTACTACCAAATTCCGATCATCAGGTAAAGCTATAATTTTTTTTTTTTTTTTTATAAGTAATAGTTATTAGGTACTTGAATGTATTAATTATAATCAATTAAAGCTGAAAAGCATAATTTTACTACCTATATTTACTAGTCTAGAAGCGTTTTATATAACTTAAGATAAGATGTACGTAATGTACTAATATCATGATTTTATTTTATAAGCTAAGCTAATAAACCAAAAACTGATAACATAATAATACATATATATAGATATAGATATTATGGTTATTTACAAATAATTACAAATTAAAAACAATAAAAACCAAGTTATTATATTAGATTAAATTTAAGTATATTACATTTAATAATTGACATAGGTACATTTCTTTTGTTTGAAAATTATATAATAATTGATTTTAGGTATTCAAACAAATTATTGATATTTTATTTAAATTATTTATAAAAAAAAATAATAAAATTAATACAAAAATATAAATTAAGTATTATCATTGATCTTAAAACTAATGATATTAAGTATTTGCGTAAAATGTTGGTACTTTATTGTGATGGTACCTATACTGACTACTGCTACACAGTTTATTTAAGACATAGATGTGAAAACCCAATTTACTTTGTACAAAGAATATAGTGCTTCAATATCGTGTGTTCCAAATTAAAATACAAAAATAAATATATTATACAATGAAACTTCCCTTTACAAAACCTCTAAATAGTGGACATTTTTCCCAGAACGAAGATATTTTCATTGCTTTATTTGTAGAAAAAACCGCTAAATACGGAACACTCTAAATAGACTGTGAAATAATAGTGTCCAACCATAAGATGATTAGATTTTTATCGTAATTACTAATTACCTTAGTAGGCCTATCTTATTACAATTTACTTACATTTTACTTATTATCACTTTTTGGATTAAACAGTTTATTTTATCCATTGTAGAAAATGGCCATCTATTTCGGTAACTGATTTTTTTTTTTTTAATAATAATACATATGCTCATAGGCGCAATCTAGGGGAGCTTGGGTCTGTTTAGCACCCCCAATTTTGAAATTATCATTCCCAAATTGTTTCATGTTCATTTAGATTTTAACAGTAACAAGTATCCATAACCTTAAAATAACATAATAAAAATAGATAAAAAAGCATATCACCCCCAGTTTTTTCATTGAAATTGCGCTCCTGCATATATATACCTAAATATACCTATTCATAAATAGGAAATTAAGTACCTATACGGCTATACACATATGTGTAACATTTTTTTCATATATTTTAATGTTAAACATTTTTTCATTAACTTCGCCCTCGTCTACATAACACACGCCTTCAAATAGCGCACAAAATGTAAACAACCGAGAGTGTACAGTATTTAGAGGTTTCCCTGTAGTTACATAAAGCCATTATTGTTTAATTTTCATTGTCAACAGGACAAGGACTTAAGAGACGCGATTGTTAGAAAAAATGTACATAGGTACAATCAAAAAAAGTAAGTTTAATGTCGTCAATCATCAAGCAAACAATAAATATGTGTTATGTAACGGTAACCTACCTAGTAGCCAGCGGGTAGGACAAAAAGTACGTTTTGCGCAATCAATTAATAATAATTAATTTTCTTGAATTATAATTACCTATTTTTTTTTTTATAAAAATTATTTAAACATCTCTATAAAAACAAGCCATTGTATTTTGTTCTTTTTTCCAGGATAATCTTATAAACTTTTGAACGGAGTACTTTTTTTAAAAGACCATAATATGGATCAAATTGAAAGAATGTAAGCACTAAGCATAGTTTTATGGACCAACTCGTATCCGCGGAACATCAAGTGATAAAATACGATAGGAACATTAGTAGCGCCATCTGTTAAGTAAAATAAAATTTAAAAAAAGTTAGCATGTTAGTACTGACTACCGTTCTGTAGACACTACTGCAAGTCTGCAAATGCAGACGTGCGTCGTGCAGTAGGTGTGACTGTTGAGTAGCGAGTAGTGAGTACAGTCTTCGAGTGACCCACTCTGATGGACGTGTAACGAGTTAAATTTGAATTCAATGATATAAAAACGATTATAAATAACATTATTATTTATTACGATAATTGAGCGAAGACTAGGTCTGTCAACAGTGTTAACCTAATCATTAATCAATATACAATGAGTTTATTAATTCATGATACTTTTTTTTTTTTTATATTGCTATTAAAATAATTTATTTTATTGTTTGTATTACCACCACATCACTCTCAGCTCTCCCTCCAATTATTTACTCATGGTACGCATATTATAGATTGTAAATATTCAATAGACGTCAGTAACAAAAAAAAAAAAACAATATTGTTTGTATTACGGTAAGGTTGATTTAATTTTTGCTAAAAATTTTTACGTTTACCTATTATATTTTTGTTATAAGCTTTCGAGTCAACACCGACTTACCGTAAAATGGTGTGAATAAGCTCGTGGTTTAAATAAGAAATAGCGTAAAATTAATCTAAATGTTTTGTAAATGTCGTGACGTCATGTACATAAAATACAATATAAATATTAGTTTCAAATCCTAAAGAATGTTTTATTTGGATTAAATAAAATAACTAACATCATTATTTTTTGTTTAAATATTGAATTTCGTCCTCTTGGAATTTCATATGTCAATAGACTATAAAAATAAATTGTGCTTACATAATTTTAAGTTTACAATATGAAACTATAAGTAGATTATTTATGAGTATAACAATGTTGAACATTTTTTAAATTGTTATTTGCCAATTGTAGAATAATTTTCAAATTTTCGAGATTTTGTCAAAATATGAAATTATCAGTTTAAAAATAAAAACATTTTTAATGTCACGGTATATTGGTATTAAAATATATCTTTAGAAAAAAAAACAAACAAAATTATCAAATAATCAAGTATCAATCACTTACAGTTTCTAATCGATAAATTTTACTTTTAAAATACTCTTCAATGAAAAAATTTCAAAAAAGAAATATAAAAAAAAACTCTTAACACCCAAAATCTTCTACAAATCAATAACATTGAATTACTGAAAAAGAAAATTGTTACACATTCATTATCTTTACACAACTGAGAATCTAACGCTATAGCTAGTAGCTATACAAATAAAATAAAATAATATTTAACATAATGACTATAATAACATACTATGGGATAAATTAATGATTTTGAAGAAGGGCAGACTAATATTAGATATTTTAATAAATAAAAGTAAATTATCTAACATAAAATTTATTATACTTTATTCATAATAAACCTTTTTTTGGAAGTTTAAAAACGAATGCAGTTTAATTTTTTTCTTTCTAAGATTTACTCTATATAGTATTCATGTACACATTATTTTCTTTATGAATGTAAATTAATTAATTTCCTATAATGAAATATTGTTTAAAATCAGATGCAAATAACTAGTATAAAGAAAACAATTGTGATAATCGTTTTATTACTATACTTAGCATAATAGTAATTAATTCTTACACAAAAAAAAAAAAATAAAAATATTCAACACTTTCCGAATATAATTGTTTATAGTTTAAATATCTCAAGAGGACATTTTACCCATGCGTTGAAACAGAAGTCTGATTAACGTACAACATAGCAAAGTTGTTAAGCAGAACTCATTTTATATTGTTAGCTTTAATATTGTCAATTTACCTATTATCTAACTTAAAGGTAAGACTTTTACTAATAATTTCATTTTAAAATGAGTTATAACTATGTAAAAAATTAAAACTTTAAAATACCTTTAAGTTTAATGATAGGTAAATCGACCCTAATATTAAAGCTTAATAATATAAAATGGGTTCTGTCTAACACAAACTTGCTACAATGTATGTTACTAAGATAGAGATAATACATGCAGGTAAGACATCCTCTTAAAAGGATGCTACACTTGTTTATGTTGAATCTGCATTACAAACATACAACATATTAAATATTTGTTCTGCAATTTCAATTTAGTGCAATAGTCTTTTATAGAGGAAATTGACATAACCAAGCTTATAGGCAGGACTATTAACCCATCTTGTAATTTTTTTTTTATATTTTAATTTTTGAGTTAGTTATAAGAATTTTAAAATTATAATATTTGAAATACTAATAAACCGCTTAAAATTCAGAAATAAATAAAAATGATTATGCATGTTTAATTTTCTGATCTTTAATTATTTTGATAAAAAGTTAATTCACTCCATTATTAAAGCTTACTACATTCAATTGAAACTGTTGAAGACAAATTTTCTAAGGTATCTGTTGTACGTCTGTAAGATGCATATATACAAGTGTGTGTCATTATTAAGCTATTAAATTCCAATAAAAACAAAAACAAAAATTATTTCAAAATGATCTACTATAATTTTCACTCATGATACAAATTTTAATTATTTCTCTGTTATTAGTTCAGTCCCATTTACATAACTTTTAACAATTATAATGTAATGTACATAAATATTAAATATAAAAGTGTTTTTTTTGAAAGAAACAACCTAAAAAAGCATTTAACTATGTTTAAATTTTTTATATAATATAATTTTAAAATTATTTTAAAAAATTTGTTTTAAAAATGTTTTAATAAACAAATGGAACTAGGCAATATAAACATTGGGAAAACAAAATTTAGAATGGTTTTATATCTGTAAGGTTATTATAATGAAAGTATATCATAATAATAATAAAAACATATTAAAGTTTGTAAAAATGTGTAATTTATTTTATTGTACTTTGCTGAACTAGTATAGCACGCAAAAGAAAATATATTATAGTATTTATGCAGTTTTTGCTCTGATAGCTGCACGCTTTCCAGTGACGGCCTGTAAACAAAATAAATAAATTAGAATAAATATTTAATATATGGGCTATTCTAATAACATCTTCCCCCACACTCAAAACAAAAAAATAATTATTAGCAGTAGGTAGAAATGTTCCAATATAAAATTAAAAAGATTGGAATGATTTAATGTTTTAATTGATAACTATTTTGTAATGAAATTGTTGGCATTTTTCTAGTTAATGACCTACTAGTCATTGACTATAATAATTTACTACATCTTCATAAAAAAAAACAAGATAAAAATATAGAAAATTTTATTATCTAAAGTAAAGTTATGCCAGGAGTATTTTATTCTCTAGAAAGTGATTGAAAATCATACCAGTCTGAAAGGTATTGGCTATATAACACATTTATTAAACTTTTAATTACTCAAAAAATTTTGTAAATCCTATAAATGGAGCTAATAAAGAAACACTATTATAGTCAATATTATAATTCAAGATTTTAATAAAAATGAATAAAACGAATATAAATCTATGAACATGTCTCGTTAAGCTGAATAGCACAACTTATTCAGTAATAAAATATGCTACTATGTATTTTGTGTTTCATAATTTTAATATAAATTAGAGCTAAGCGATTTAATTTTATGAAATAAGCTTAAATGTTGAACAATATAAATCCTAGTTATCTATTACTAAAAAATATATATAAATAATATTTTCACTTCTTACCTGGAAACCAGATTTAATACTGGCAACAGAACATCGTGAACCACAAGTTTCACATTGCAAGAAAAACAAACGGGTGTCTTTCTGCAAAATAGTTTCAGGTGAACGACATGTATGACAGGTAACATATTCTTTTATATATCTCCTGAGTACATTTTCAATTTGTTTTTGCTGAAAACGACCTTTGATTATAAGCTGGCTATTACCGTCCACTGAACCACTAGTACCTAATTCAGCTAACAAAAAATCTAACAAATGTTTGGGCTGACGATGTAACCTAAATAATAAATAATTTATTAAAAACATATCATTTGAAAATCAATTGGTCAAAAATATATTCTTACGTTTTGCATATTTCTGTAAAGTTTGCAAAAGATGTTTTTTTAGTACCTATCCGAACTACTTGTGGAGGACGCATAACAAATTTTTGTTTTTTACCCGCAACCATATCAGGATTTTTTTCTCGCATTATCTCAAATACTCTAGTTAAAAGTTCATCATATGTATAATCACGATCAGAACCAAACCACGTATGGCTTTCACCATCAGTTACTAGAAAGAAAAAAATATATTGTTAAATTAAACAACAGTAAAAATGTATAAAAAGTGTTTTATAACAGTAACTGATTTAATTTATCACAACATAAAACTAAATATATTTGAAAATTATGTTTTCGTTAACATTATGATTTAATAATACATGAAAATATGCTATATTTATTCAACAAAATAAAACGATATATATAAAAAATTATCATTCAATTACTATTGTTATAAATTAGACCTTATGGGTTTTTGAGCCCAATTGGTCTTTAAAGGTTTTTAAATTAAGTGTAGAGTATACCCAACTAATTAGTAGTAAACTAAGCTATTTATTATTTATTATGAATATCACAATTTTGAGATATTGATTGAGAATATATCTACAGTTTCCAAATGAGAAATAAAATTTGAATTATATATAGAAATTATTATAGAAATACTAACAAGTAACTGTTTTAGATAAAATTAAAAAGTTCTCTACACAATAACTTTAACCTTATCAAAACCCTTACCAGACTCAAAATTCCACTGGCCATCGTTAAAGCATGTAATTTGAATAAAATTATATAAAGGATTGTCAACCTTATTTTAAAAGAAGTGTTTTCCACTTTTTCCACTTACTGTCGTCAAATTTGTCACCTTTCTTATCCATTTCTTCAGCAACTAATTCATCTATATCTTTCTTCTTTTTCTTTTTCTTTTTTGTTTTTGAAAAGTCCATATTTAAGTCAAAATCATCCTGAAATCCCAACAATAAAAAATAAGTAAAATATCAATGAAATTGAAAGAGAAAAACTTACATCCATAGCCTCTCCTTGGCCATCACCATTTTCCATTGCTGATGATGTATCAGGTAATGCACTTTCTAAATCATCTAAATTTATTGTGACCTTTTTTTTCTTTTTTTTCTTCTTACCGAAGTTATCCAGATCCAGGTTTCCATCTATAAATATATATTACATGAGCTTTTTAAACAATATAAATACAGTTATCTATTAGTTAAAACAGTATAAAATAAATTTATAAATGTTCGCAAATAAAATTGATACAATTATTAGATTAAATATAAAATAATAAACACTGTCAGATCAGAAGACAAACTAAAAATATTAAAGGTATATAATATATACATATATCCATAAATACAATTTAAAATTAATTAAAAGGATAAACTAATTGATAAATTTGACTCGATCTTTAATAAGAGTTAAATTTATTTAAACACACAATGAACACAAATAGTTTCAAATTGTTATGCATCATGATAACTCACTAAAAAAAAAGGTACTAGATGTTCTCAATAACAAATGACAATACATTTAATATGCTATATAACAATATAATTACCATCAAATTCATCAGGATCTGGCCCAGGTTCCTGATTTTCTTTATCTAATGTTTGTTCGTTTATGCCATCAAGACCAGCTTCAGAAGCTAAAGCACTGTCTAAGTCAAACTTCTTCTTCTTCTTCTTCTTCTTAATGGAAGGATCAAATAACTAAAAATCATAAATATATTTAATGACAACTGTATTAACAGATTTACTTTCAATGATTATCAAATAATTATAATATGATAATGGACACAATACAACATACTTCTCTAGAAAGTAGTACTTCTCAATTACATTTGAATAGTAAGTAATATACACTATCTTTTAGGGGTCAATAAAATGTAAATATGAGTATGCATTCTGTTAAAATTATATTCTAAAAGCATTTAATATAATTTTAAATGTAATTGTAGGTAAAACACAAATGGATTTTTGGTCTTTATCTATAATTAAAAAATATTTAAATAGCAATTATAAAGACAAAATGATTAATGTCCTAATATTATATTAGATACATGAAAAATAACACTCGTGTGGTAATTTATATTTTAATAGTTTAGATTTTTTGGCCAATGATTAAGTTATTGACAAGGTTTAACATAGAGAACAGAAAAATTTTAAACAAAAATATTACTAAGATACACTTACAGCTTCTTCTTCAGTCATTTTAAATTGAATATTTTTTACTTCTTTAATACTATTTAATATAATATAAAATTGAGATTGGTAAAATATTGGACAAGTTAAAGAAAAAATGTGGCAACTAAATACTGATGTGTGTAGAAAAATGTTGCATCAGCCCAACTAGCCAATGTGGCCAATGGACGGAAATCGTACGATATGTTTTATCGATACAACTTTAGAGGTATTGATAAAAAATATTTATAACATGCATTTTAGATTAAAAAATTTTCAACACATATGATTTAAATGATAATTAATAAAGTTTAAATGTAAAAAACATTTAATTAAAATTAAATATTGTAATAAGTTTTACAATATTAACTAAATAGAAACTTAACGGGATAACATTGTTATTATAGTGGTTATACTGTACATTTTTATCTATTTTTTTTTTGTTATTATCTCGCAAAAAAAGAATAACAATAAAACAAAAGAATATTTTTACTGGAGGCCAGTCAAAATGGAAATCCGGAAATTGTCATTTTCTTGATCATTTTAATTTTATTAACAACTTAAAAAAATCCATTTAATTGGTTCCATAAAATTTTTAACTACTTAATAAATGTAAAAAAAACCTAATTTTATGCCTGTGATCAAATATTTGATAATTCTAATAGCATGTATACACTCAGCTATACAGCCGTTGTGCTCTTGATAATCACCAGTAATATTCAAGGTAAGCTGTTCACATCTGTATCTACTTATACTATACTTAAATTTCTTTTTGATGTTAGGTGAGCGTCTCAGCCAATATGTGACACATTATGAGCCTGTTACATACGATCATCAACACTTGGCCCAAAGTCATGATAGGGCCAAACGATCAGTGACTAATAGTGACAGTAATGTGCATGTAACGTTTAAAGCACATGGCCATCACTTTCATCTCAGACTTCGTCGAGATACGGAAACATTTTCTAATACCATAGAAGTGTTAGATAATTTTGGCAATCAGATACATCCTAATGATATAGATACTTCACATATATATCATGGACATATTGTCGGTAAGTTTTGTTTTTGATTGTTACTATTTAAAATTAATATGTATTTCACAATACTCAACAATAGTGTAATAACTTATTTTCAAAATGTCTTTTTAATTAAAGAATTGTCTTAAATGTCCAAAGGATTTCCCTTTACAAAAACCACACTAGGTAGATAATAATTAACTTGCATAATATACCTACAAAAATATAGTTACATAGAGACATTTTAGTATTGCAGGAAAGGCTAGTCAAAATATGTTTGGCTTAAAGTTAATAGGTTAAAGTTTTACCATTCATCTTAAACTAAAATTATTTTGTTATTATTAATCAAAAAATTAATTTTTTTTTTCATGAATTTATAATATTCCTTTAGGTAAAAAGTATCCCTAACTAAAAAATGTTTATCATATTATCTATAATCTCTTGAAAAGTTTAATCTGGAAGATAAATATTTTAACAGTTTTCTATAATTACTAAATTTTTTAACTATTTTTTATATAATTCGTTGTCAAGATGTCGAATTTTGATTTTAATTATAATAAATTTGTGTATGAGCACTCATAAGTAAAATTTTAGGCAGTAGCAAACTAAAAAAAATGTTCAAATGTAATATATAAAAGATTTAATGTTATTTGTTATTTTTACATATAAATGTAAATATGCTGTTATGCTAAGTATAAGTATTAATAAAAAAATTGATATTTATATTGTTATACAAAATATGTTTAGTTAAAACACATTTTTCCTTTCAATTTTTTAATATATTAACAACTATTGTTACAATTGTATTCGTTTATGCTTAGTCATCCAGTATGTGTTTGGTGCTTGTTAAATGTGTGCACATTTAAATTTTAGCGTTAATTTGAGTTTTTATGAAAATGAGTTATTTAGGTAATTAATACAGAAACATTTTTTTTAACAACGAATCTTGTGTCAAATTTTGACAAGAACATGGGTTATTAACTTATTGAATCCAAATGTATGTACTAAATTAAATGTAGTAGATGATGTGTGGAATGGTGATATGAAATTTTAAAATATTAGTTAAAACTAAATAAATGCGAATGCCAGTAAATCGAGTATATGACATGTGTACTAATTTTAATAAGTATGTATAAAAAAAAAAAAAAATAGAAAATAGAAAATCAAAATATATATTGTTAGATATTAATAGTCTAATAAGAACTGGAAATTTCTTCGCTTCATTCTAAACATATTAATGACATCCTAAATGAAAATATACTTATTTATGTTCACTATTTCACCATAAAAGCTAATCATACACAACCCATTTAAAAGATATTCGCCGGTAGTCGACTGAAGCCACGTTTTTACTCTTCTTAATGTACTAAACAACCTCTCTATTGTGCATGTTGCCAGAGAGAATGATTTAAAAACATGGAGTATTTAACAAAACTAAAGATAATATATTTGCAATGAGCCAGTAAATCAATAAACGAAATTTCATTACACTGAGATTCAACCAAATTTTTATCAACTCAATACTGATATCGAATATTAGATTTCTCTATCATATTTTTAAATTTACAATAATCTCTAATCAGCTTAATTTTTTTTATTTGAAATCATTAATGGTGTACTTTTTAAATATTTGCAATTAAAAATTGTTGTGAAAGAGATAATATTAGTGAATCTAAATAAGGACTAAAGATAGAAAGTTTGTTATAACGTTCAGCAGAATCAATTTTTTAATTTGATCTATTTTTTGTTTAGATGTAGTGTGAGAAATTTTAATTTCTACCGTGTATATAAATCTTGGATATGATTTTGGACTGAGTATAAATCAACAGACTTAGTCTGAAGTTTAGTTAGTAGTGGAGTTTATTTTTAATTGGTTCTAATTGAGCTGAGTATTTTGACATGATATTTAAAGATATAATAAATTGTGAAGTTGATGTCTTACATTATAGTTGTGAGCTTTTGTGAAAGTAGTGTTGTTAATTTAACAATCTGAATTATTGGTAGTTTTTTTTGGAATTGATTTAATGTTGATAAAGTTTTCAGCAAAAATGCCAATAGATTTATACTTAGCAGCCTAACAAATATCACACAAAATTAGTTTATTTGTAATAAGTTTTCAACAAAGTAAACTTTTACAAAAAAAAATTAATTACCTCTTTAATTACTCCTTCAGTATTTTGTATTTTTGTTTTTGCATTAAAATCGTTTATAACCAAATTAAGTCTATGCGATGCATAGGGAAAAAAATGTTGCTTTAGAATATTTTCTGACTCTGTTTTCCTTTCTAATCATTGCTAAACACTCATCAAAACTCAAGCAATTGGCTTATATCCAAACCATATTTTTTAACAGAAGCTAAAATAAAAGTAGCTATTAGTAAGTAGTAACCAACTGCATCTAATGTTTTTAGTGCACTAAATCCTATGAATTTTTTTCTTATAGTTTTTCAATTATTGACAAAACGAACGTCAATCAATAGTTGTTTAGCACCAGCAACATCATAGTTTCATCAGCTAACAATGAAAAACTTATAAGCTTCTATTAACTTTTCGAACAATTTTACCTCATAACATATTTCCACATAATACAAATAATTAATTTTGAATGCGATGTGAGATATTAAGTTTAGTATGGCATGTTGATAAATGTTTAAAAAAAATTACTGTATCCAGATTCAACTCGAAATTTTAAAGGATCATGAAAATTTCCGGTACAACCCGATTTACCTCTAATTGCTACATCATTTATTGTACCTAATACTATTGGAGACAAAATTGGGACTAGCCTTTTTCTATTTTGTTCGATTTGTGAGTGTTCTGCACTTTGCAGTATTTAATTGATCTATAGTAAATTCACTGAGAGATCGGACCTGCGCGACGGACGAAAATTCATTGTTTCTCTCTACTACAACACTTGACGGCTACAGTCTGCCTACTTATCACCTGTTGCTTAAGACTCTTTAAACTTTAGAGTTGTTATGGACTATGTAATATTTAGTATATTTTAAAACATATATTCTACGGTGTGGTGGCACATGTTCCGATTATTTAATAAGACAAGACAATGTATCTAATGCAAAGTCAGGACGAACGGTGTGAACATTGTATTGTTTAATTTTTCAATTTAGGTATTACACGTTGCTCATTTCTCAGAAAAATCGAAACTATGAGATCGTAAAAGTCGACAAGAATAATAAATTAAATACGAGACCCCTCGTGTCATTGGAAGTCGCCACCATCATAATCGATTCTTTGTCAATTAACTATTTATAAAGGATTAACTTGGTCAAGAGCTCGATAGACAGTTAGGGATATCCAAGACGTTCAAAAGCCGGTCGTAACACTACTCGCTGTCTTGCTTATCAGTATTTCTGAATCAGGTTGTAATACCACTCACCAACATTTTGTACTTGCAATAGTGTAATTTTATATTTAAATTTAAATTAAATAAAGATTTACTTTATATTTAATATATCAAGTATTTTCATTCCTGCGTTGATATATGAATCGACATTACTGTCGGGACGCAACAGAGTAATGGGAAATTGTAGTGTTTGTGATCACGAATATGTTCGAACACATTCCATATTCCACATAGCAGATTATTTGAACTTACTTTGTATATAAAATAAGTTTAATTGGCGGAGAAGGGATTTTTGACGGAGTGCCCGTATTTCCGTCAGTCGGGTGTATGAAATGGTTTGATCTCTCAGTGAACAGAGTATACCTTTAACACTTTTTTCTTTGTTAGTCATAATTTTAAAAAAATCTGTTGATTGAGAAACCGAATCTCGATGCCATTTAGATTGCATTTTGTTTTTTGTATGAAGATAAAAATTCACGAACAATAAACGCTCCTAAGAATCATATTTTATCAATAGGGTGAAAAATAACACAATTTTTGTTTAAGCCACCATTTTAAATATCTGGAATAAATTAACTAGCGATATTATTTCAGTCATTCTATATTAAAATTACTTTTTTGTGCAATACCATTATTCTTAAATTCATAATTATCTGATGAAAAATATGGTGTTGGTAGTATAATTTGT